GGGCCATGGTCCCAGGACCAAGTGTCCTGCGCGCAGGCTCTGTGGGGTGGGGGTTTGCATCGGGCTGTCCTTCCCTCCACCCGGCCGGCACGAGGCCCGTGTGTGTACTGCAGGCGGCTGACAACATGGCGTGATGTCGTGTGAAGCTGTCGCTGCCGCAGTTGTAAGCCACTGGGGGATACGTGTACGGGGTGTGTTCAGCCCCAGGTGTTAGAGACTTTTTCCAAATCCGTGGTGACGGACGGTTCCGAGCTGATCTGACCCTGTGAGGGCTGTCTGCGCGCACACGTGTGAGCCCGGCCCAGAAAGGGCAAGGGGCAGATGCACGGTCATGCCTGCCCCGGGGAGGGACCGGCCTGCACCCTGTTCCTGCTGCTGGGCAGCCCCCATGTCTCTCCCAGGCTCCGCCACACCAAGGAGGCCGTGAAGGCTGCCCTGGCGGATGACTTTGACACGCCCGCGGCCGTGGACGCCGTCATGGAGCTCGTGCACCACGGGAACAGACAGCTGAAGGCGCACGCTCAGGTGTGTCCCGGGACGGCCTGCAGGGTGGGGAGCTGCTGTGGTGGCTTCCGCTCCCCCGGAAGGCACAGCCGCCACCCTGCCAGCTGCCCGGGATGGCCTCCAGGCCTGCCCTGACTTCTGGGGTGCTTCATCCTGCTCTGGGCTGACCCCCCAGCAGGGAGGTCCCGCACATGGACAGGTGGACCCGCATGTTTGCTAACAGGAAGTGTGTCCTCTTCCTGTCTGTTCCGAGCTTGCTGGGATGTGAAGCAGGACATGGGGGGACGCTATGTGCAGGGACTCCCCCCCCACCCCATGCCGCCTGGCCCTGCTGTGGGCCTCTGCCCCTATGAGCTAGTGGCCTCCTGGAGACGCACCTGCTGACGCTGTTAAACGGGGGTCAGGGCTCAGCGTGTGGGTCTGGGGGACACCAGCATGCAGGTCCTAGCAGATCCCCATATTACAGGTGGGCAGATGGAGGTGGGGTGTTCCCTGGCTTCCCCACGGTCACATGGGGGGCCAGTGAGGGGTCCCACCAGGGCCATCCGTACCGCATGAGGTGTGACCCCGCGGCAGGAGCAGTGGCCTGCCGCGTCCCTGAGTTTCTACAGCGTTTTCTCGGCCCCTCATCCCCTCCTCTGGGTGGTCTGTCACAGGAACCCAGCGGTCCCCGGAGTCCTGCCGTGTTCGGCTCCATCGTGTCCTACATCGAGCAGTTCTTCGAGACCGTCGGGATTTCTCTGGCGGACAGACAGGTACGCCCTGCCCTTCGCGGTCCTCGCCTGTGGGAGGGTCCATGTGTGCTCACCACCGCCCTCTCCCCTTTCACGATGTTCGTTTTAACGGACCACAGTGTTGAACGTATTGACGTGCTTGAGAAAATGTTCCCGAGAAAGCAAGCCGGGTCAGAGCTGGTGTCTTACTAGCGGATGCTGCAGGGATTCGGAGCGGAACCCGCGGCCCCTCTTGGCCGCACCCCGTGTGCTGTCTGTCCTGCACACGTTCTTTTCCCTTGTTTCTCCTGAAAGACTCCGAGTGCGGCCAGGTGCACAGTAGGACGACCCTTCCCCGGCCAAGCCCCTTGCTGTCTCGCACAGCACAGGCCTCTGCGCCTTCCCCCGCTCCCCGCCAGCCCGCCTCCCGCACATGCACCCTCTCCCCGGGCCCCGCTCCTCCCAGCACCCTCCCCGCCTTGCTGCACCGTGAGACCACGCATCAGGAACCCTGTGAAACGGGTCGTCAACGTGGAAAGGCCTGGGCTGCGTCCCGGCATGACCATCACGCGTGTGCTGGGACCGCTCAGGCTTCCCGGACGGTGCCGTAGAGCTGGCGCCCGGCCCTTGTCAGGAACCCTCGCTCGCCTTCCCCACCTCCATGGCGGACACTGGCTCCCACTTTGGGCTCACGTTTTTGTAACCAGAAAAATGGTCTTTTATCATGGAGGTAGACACTGAGGGTCCTGTGGTTGGAGAAGCTTGACCCCAGGGTTGTAAACGTGTCATTTCCTTCACACCCGTGAGCACCGACAGGCTCTGGGACCCCTCCCCGTGAGGGCGGAGGAGTCGTGTAGGTGGGCTCTCCAGCTGGGTGTGGAGAGGTCGGTCTGTGAACGGGCAGCGAGAGAGTAGGTGTGTGCGAACCACACGCAAGCTGGACGTCACTTTTGGGGTTTGGTCCGAGGAACTGATTGGGTTTCACGAGGCTCCGCGGCTGGCACGCGCAGACCCTGCCCAGGGAGCCGGCTGCTAAAGATGCCCGAGAGGCTAGAGCGTCTGTGGGATGGGGGCAGGGCGGCCCGGGCGGGCCTCCCGGGCAGTGCTGCCGCAGACGCAGACGGGAGCCCTGGGTCTTTGCCTCTCCGCGGCACTAGGGAGCGCTGCCTCGTGACCGGGCCTGTGGGCCAGGAGAGCAGGGACCGGCCAGCAGCCCGGGCCCGGGGAGGAGAGCCGGGGGGGGGACAGGCCCTGGGTCAGGTTGGCACTGACTGCCGCGGGCCCCGGACCATGCCGCTCCGCCCGGGGCAGTCTTTTGCAGGGGACAGCAGCCGGGCCACCCTGCACAGCGTGGTGGACGAGCTGGTCCGCTTCCGGCTGCGGGTGCGGCAGTTTGCCCTGGCCCCGGGAGCGGCCACCCGGGAGGCCCGACAGCAGCAACTGCTGGACAGGCAGCCCCTGCTGGAGGCGTGTGACACCCTGCGCCGGGACCTTGTCACCCACGGCATCAGCATTAAGGTGAGCCGCTGCCGCTGTGGCCTGCCGGCGGTGGGCACGGTCACCCTGAGGGCGGCACGCAAACGTGCGACGGTCAGAGCCCGGACGTTGCTGAGCCCCCCACCCCGGAGCCTGCAGCCGGGCCCCGTGGGGGCATCAGGGCGGGCAGTGAGCCCTGAGCGTCTGGCCCACTTTCCCCGTGCCTCCTCCGCAGGACCGGAGCAGCACGTCCACATGGGAGCTGCTGGACCAGGGGACAGAAGACCGCAGACCGGGGAGCTGACGGCCCCCGACACCGTCCTGTGCTTACGCAGAGGCCTCCTGTCGTGCCTGTCCTGTCAGCATTAAAGTCAATCCAACCGATCGCGTGTGCCTGAAATGTGGATTCTTCACGGTACCTAGGGCCACACACAGGGGCCAGCACTGGTCCTGATGCGGGACCCTGGGCCGACATCATGGGAGGACCATGAGCCCTGAAGCCCGGGGCAGAGGACCTAAGTCCTACAGGGGCCCGGGGCCTGTGGCCGAAGTCCAGCAGGGCACCAGCGGCCTGTACCTCAGGCACCGGGCGGTGCTGAACGGGGAGGGGGGCCCTGAGCTGGGACAGCTCGCCCCACGTCTGTCTGTCACAGAAGTAACGTGTTCGCCGCAGAAGACCACCACGTGGTGGCTGCACTGGTGAGAGCAAGACCCAGGTGTGAGCGCGGCCGCAGAGCAGGAGGCCGCGCCGGTGCGCACAGCGCAGCCCCCAGCGGCTCTCCCTCCGTGGCCCGGCCGCTGCAAGCCCGGGGCTGCCGAGCTGGCCTGTCCCGCGGGTGCCGCGGGGAGGAATACGCTAGGCGTGGTGGTGACACTCGACAGCCACATTCACTTGTGACTGAACTTCAGGACCCCAAAAGGCACGATTGTCCTATTCCACAGGTGAGGAAACCCACTCGGAAACGGACTTGCCCACGGTGAGCCAGCTCGTGCGGAGACCCCACCCGGCAGGTAGGCCCTTGACAGGGACACCCAAAGGTGGTCCATTCAGTACCTGGGGCTCAGGCTGTCCCCCGAGGGCCACGTGCTGCCCTTGGCCCCCCCAGTGACCTCCGTGCCCTGCTACCTTGGTCTCAGGGTAAAAGCCCATCCTTAGCTACAGCTAGTGGGTCTAGGGCTATTTTAAAAACAGCCGCTGGCCCTTGGATGTACTCCTCACTCGCACTGGGACAAGAGGATTTGTACTTAACTCCGAGCAAAACCAAAAACGGTTCCGTGATGCGTGCACTTGACCTTCTGTGGAACAAAGAGCACTGCACGTTCGCAAGGTGGGGAGGCACAGATGAAAACCGTGAAGTGACAAGCTTTCCCACGTTTGTCCCCCTGCTGACCGTGTCCTCGCTCAGGAAAGCTGGAAAGTGGACATGAGCTCCGTCAGAAAACAATACAAGACCCGATGTTGAGATAAACCAAAATTTGCCTTTTAATAGCTACCAGGATTTAGATGTAACTGCCCAGAGGGAAACACGGTGACGCTTCTCAATGACGTGTGAAAGGAGCGGCGCACGTTTTTAAGGTAGGATCTGTCTGGGGCGAGGGGACTGAATCCCAGAACATCAGTCAAGAGGGACAAAGGATCCACACGGGTCCCGTCCTTGCAGAAAGCACGGAGAAGCCTACGGAAGTACTCCCGTGCGCAGGACCCAAGCCCACGGGGAGCCGCAGAAAAAACCGCGCGCCCAAAGCACCATCCGGAAGCCAGCCAGAGGCTCACAAGGCATCTCGCAGAGCGCACTTCTTTTCACGGATTCTGCTCCTGAGGACACATCCACTTCCCATGACCGTGTTCAGTCCCCCCACCTGGGGCCTCCCGGGACCAGTACTGGCCCCGGTGTGTGGCCACGCCCTCCGAGTGTCCAGCTTAGTCCTGCCTCCCCGAGAGAGCAAACCGCTGGGCCACTTCCCAAGGGTCCCCTGGGGACTGCCTCCCGCCAGCAGACTCAAGAGCGCACACAGAGGAGGAGCAGGCAGAGCCCTGCCCTCGTGCCCGGGGCTCAGTGCCCTGTGTCCTCCAGAAACCGGTCACTGGTTATTATGAAACACTCCATTAAGCACAGTTGATGCGGATGACTTCTGCCCAGACGATTCCAACCCGATCAATGTTTGAGCAGCGCACGTGATCACGGCCACTAGGGCCACAGTGCCTGGGGACCGCCACCTCAACAGCACTCTCACAGGTACTGAACAGGATCGACGGGACCCGTGAGGGCACCCACCACGGGGACATTGCGTGGACACATGGCACGTGGGTAGGGCAGGCCCGTGCTCCCGGAGCACACGCAGAGCTCAGCGGCTCGTCTCCTGCTGAGCAGCTTGGAGGAGTTCAGGAATTCTTGGTCTAGTGTCACCTCTTCAGCTGCGCACGCAGCCAAAAATCCACTCCTGGACCACGCGGTCTGCCACCCGAGGGCTGGGACACAGGACGTGGCTTCCTGTGACAAACAGCCTCCCCGTCCGTGGGCCACTCGCTTCCTGGGGCCTCAGCTTAGGCTTCAAAGAGGCTGCGGAACGCGGGCCCGACCTCCGCGATCATGTCGGTGGTGGTGGTGGAGCGGCCGTGCTTCTGGAAGGCCTGACGGCTGCACTGCCTCGTGAGCGAGCACGCGCCCATGGCGGCCAGGAGGAGAGGGCTGCACCTGGAGAGGGACGACTGTCAGCACACGCTGCACACTCCAGCCTCCCCCCATTTCCTGGGACCCCAAACAGCCCATTTCAAGTCTGCTGTGACTGGGAGGCAGAAGGTAGCCTCACGACCGGGACGCGGATATCCCCGCGTATCCCCGCGGCTGGAGAACAGGACAGCACTGTTGCCCCCGAGGAAAACTGTACCCGCACTGGTCACGGTTCACTGAGATCCTCAGTGCCGGGAGGACTTGGAAGATCCGAGCATGTGGGTTCCGGCCACCGTCCCCAGATGCCCCTAGAGCTGTTTCCACGTGGACACACCAGGCAGGTGCTCCCTGCCTCCCGGTGTGCCACCACCCCGTGGCCTCACATGGCTTCACAGCTGGGGGGGGGGGGACACCCTGCCCCAGCACACGTGGCCACCACTGCCCCATGATGCGTGTGGAGGATGGGGCCTGTGGAGGACTGGGCCCTGCCTGCGCTCACAGCTCTGACCACAGACGCGGGCCAAGCCTGGACCCCCGAGTTCTGTCTCCTAGAGGAAACTCCCATCTTTCGGGACGGGGTCAAAGCCAGCTCACCCCTGCCCCACGGATTTCTCCTCCACTCTTTTGCTTTACAAAGGGTACACATCACATCCCCAGAACAGGGTCTCAAGCGGACTCGGACGCCCCAAGCCACTGGTACTGAGGCACAGGGCAGGGCCCCAACCTCACACAGAGTGAGAGTGGCCCAGGTGACCACCCTGGGATCAGCCCCACCCCGGTATCGCTTCCACGGGACACTGACATTTCACGCGGCTCCGCGTTAACGTGTGAGCCACTTACACAGCTCATGCGGTAAAACTCTCGAGGGGACAAGCGAAGGTGTCACATACCCGTTCGTCTTCTCGGGTCCGGCACGCAGCGCCCAGTGCACCAGGACACCCAGGGCGCCCGACAGCAGGTCTCCCTGGCCACCGCACCTGCGGCCACTGCCCTCCTGCACGCACTCGAGCACTGGCGGAGGGAGACGACACGGCCGTCAGGGGACGAGCTCTCCTGTGCCCGAGGCACCATCTCGACCCGACCCACGGCAGCTCTTCCCGAATGTCTCAACCCGGCAGCCTGGTTTACAGGAGAGCAGACCCGGGCCGGCCCAGAAGCAGGTGTGCGGTGTGGGCGGTGAACAGACTCGGGCCTGCTGGAGAGGATGGGGGAAAAGCAGGCTCGGCCCGCTAGACCCCCTCGGGGACACACGCCACCCTCAGAAGTGCGCGGCCCCCGCCCTTGGCCGCTCATCCATTTACACGATGTAGCCAGCGGCCGCAACAGAAGCCAGGTGGTCCCATCCTCAGGAAGTGTCAGGGTCTAGGGCGCCTTCCAGCAACAAGAACCCCAGAGATTTCTGGGTCCCTCAGAAAACACTCCCTCGGCGTGTCCTGCTTCCTCCCACTCTCTGGTCAGTAGCCCTAAACTCCGTGCTGCTCCAACAACGGGGGCGCTCCCTGCCTCCCGGGCAGCCCACGGGAGGGGAGGACCTGTGTGCGGGGTGCGAGGGGGGCTCCACCCCTCACTGTCCCTGGCGGCGCATCTCAGACACCCACCAGCTCCCCCTGCTTTTTGCGCTGGCCAGCCGGCAGGCCCGAGGGAGAGAACGAGCGGCAGACTGCCACACCCAGCACCCGGCACCCCCGCCCCCCGGGCACCAGCTCCCGGCGTTCCCCCACTATCCAGCCCTCCTCACAACAGGAGGCAAAGCAGTGAAACATCCAGGTGCCGCCTCGAACACCGCAGGTGAGCGGGCCGGGCCCCGGGGTGCCGCTTGCTGGCAGGGCCGCAGCCCCACTGCTCAGCTTCCCACGGACCCCCCAGAACCAGCCGCTGCTCCAGGCGTCAACAAGGATCAACAACAAGGATCAGCATGTCCCTGCCCTTTGCAAGACGGTGAAAAGTAAAATCAACCTCATCGGGAGCCTGTGTGTGGAACACGGGTGACATCAGGGACGGCGTGTGCCGTGACTGGTTTCCCAGGGGCTGTCACCCAGCACTGCCACACTGAGTGACGTGCGTGAAGCCACAGCTACCCACCCTGTTCACCGTCGGAGATCACGTCCCGCTCCCCTTTCTGGACCACGGTCACATTCCCCAAGGCCCGGCTGAGTCTTCGTACAGCTTCGCGACGATCGCTGCCGTCCCCAGGGTCTCTCAGCTACAAGGTGGGACAGCACAGATCAGGCCGTTGTCGGACACGTGAAAGGAGCCCACCGTCACGGGTACGTCCTGCCCATCCACCCTGATCCTTAGGACCTCCCCACGCTACACACCCACCCCCTCCTTCCGGAGCTCTGGCCCCACACGTGGAAGGGGACGACCCGTCCACTAAGGGGAAGGAGGCCCAGGATAACCGGCCAGCACGTCCCGGGCAGACGCACAAACACCGCTCAGGGCCCTCCCCCTGCCGCGGCTGGAACCTCCCGGGCCTGCAGAGGGGACAACTGTGAATAACGAGGCACTAGCATCTTGGGACGCTTACATCATGAGAACGCCGGGGTTGACCTCTGTCATCCGGTTTCGTCCTCACACCCGATGCAACGATGCTCTCAGCAGCCCCATTTCACGGACGAGGCAACGCGGGACAGAGACCGAGTGCGCTGCCTAGAGCCCCCACCCCGCCTCTCAGCCCACCACAGACGTCCCAATGAGAAGACGCCCCATCGTTCCATGCGCCACCAAGAGAGAAGGGCACTGTCACATGTGGGGACACGCCCCGACTCGCTGGCCATCCGCAAGTCTGTCCCGCTGGGGCGGCGGAGGCAAAAGCACCGAGCCGTCCCGCACCCGCCTCAGGACGGGCAGGGCCTGCGCCCCATCTTCCGGGTGGTGAGCACTCACCACGGCTTCAGAGAGTCTGCCGAATTCCACGTGGTTGGGAGTGAGAACGGCCTTCCGGTAGCCCTGGATGAGGGCCGGGTGCCGAGCAATCAGCCACAGCCCGTCCTGCAGACAAGGACAGGGACGTCGGGCACAGCCTCAGGGGCCTGGCTGGGAGGAGGGCAGAGAGGAGAGTCACACTCACTGCATCGATGACGACGGGGATGTCCCTGGCCTTGGATGCTTCCAATAGGCCCTGCAAGGAAAGGAGGAGAAGCTGAGCAACACCGCCCGAGACGCCCAAGCGAGCAGTTCGCTGATGACCTACAACATGAGGTCACGCGCAAACACACAGAAAACGGAAGTGCACACAGGACGCGGAAGACCCAGAGGAGCAGAGAGCAGCCCCCGTAAGGCAGGGGCCCTGGGAACTCTGAAACGGGTCTGTGGGAAGCCCAATCCGCAGCGCCGGGCCAGGCGAGCCCGTGGAGGCCGACCCCAAGCTGGAGGCTCCAAGTTCCCACCAACACTCATCCCCAGGGCTCCCAGAAGAAAAACCCGAAGTCTTCAGAATTCTTCCAAATCATGAGTTTCTATGCATTTTTTCTAACACTCTGTGTTTTAAAACGTGACCATGATAATAAAAGTGAATCACCTCTCCAAAAAAGTTACACTAAAAATCTCAAAGATTAAAAAAAAATAATAAAATCTCAGAGGTTATTGGCTGCATTCTGTGTCTGCTGCGATCACCACATAGACGGTCGCTTACTATGAACCAGTATTTTGTGACGAGATGACACATCAAACAGCACGTAACCCCCATCTCCCCTGAAACACACATTAAGGGTAGAAAACACGGAGAAGAACGAAGCAAGAGCCCCCCTCCAGGATGCCTGGTGTCCTTACTGGAGGAGGAGACCAGCACATGGCGACAACCGGGTGAGGACACAGTGGGCAGGCAGCCGGCCGTCTACCAGCCAAGGATAGAGCCCTCAGAAAAAAACAAACCTGCTGACACTTCGCTTGGGGACGCCTTCCAGGACCAGGAGGACACCGAGGTCTGCTATTTAAGCCCCTGCCTGCAATGTTCTGCTGTGGCCGCCGTGGCTCGCGGAGCCTCCGTCACTTCCACCGCCAACGGCTTGAACTCCCTAGCAAGCGCCTTCTGACCCCCGAGGGGAACAGGAGAGGAACCAGCAAGTAAATCCCGGACAAGGGACGGCCGCTCTGACGGCCCCGAGTCCTCATCTCCAAGAAGTGCTGACTCTTTGTGAGACAGCTTTGACTCGGGCTCCGAGGGAAGGAGTCTGCAGATAGCAGCCGAGCGTCTGGGACATCACTAGGACGTCACCAGGACACAGCTCCAGGCCCCGGGGAAGCTGCTGGGACTGAAAGACACGGGCTCAGAGACCAAAAGACTCAGAGTTGTGTGAACTCGAGCAGAGTCTCTTCACTTCTCTGAAACTCTGCTTGCCGGTGTATAAAATGAGGATCATGGCCCAATTAATACTTTTTTTTAAGTTTTTATTTTATTTATCAGAGAAAAAGAGAGTGAGAGAGAGGGTGCACAAGGAGGCAGAGGGAGAAGCAGGCTCCCAGGAGATGTGGCTTGAACCCAGAACCCTGGGATCATGACCTGAGTCGAAGGCAGAGGCCTAATCCACTCACATCCCTCAAATAATCCTCTGACTTTGTATGAGGATGAGAAATACCAACTCGCGATCTACGCAGTTCCTGGCAAGGGAGCCGGCCATGCGTAACTGGCAGCTGCAGGGAGGCCACCGACGGCCTCACCACGGCTCCACCCACCACCTAGTGAGCAACCTCCCCTACGGCGTGGACGGCAAAGGAGGGAAGGAGCCGCACCCCCACACGTCAGACGAGGCTGGGTGGTCCGACCAGGAGCGCTCCGCATGGGACATGGCACCCGGGGGCAGCGGGAGAGCAAGGGCAGCCCCCGGCAATCGCAGCCCTTCAGTGTGAGACGGAGCTGCGGCAGCCCACGCCCGGCCACGCAGCTCCTAGACATCTGTCTTCAGGGACAAACAGCCCAATGTGCGGGAGTGTCTGAGACATCACTGACAGGTTAAGAAAAAGCTGCAAACCACCCCCGTGAGCCAGTTAAATATGGTGTATCGTGATGTAGCTATTAAACGTAGCGAGGAACACGTCCACGTCCTATCAGGGAAAAGCCTCCAGGACGTACCTTTAAGTAAGAGCGAGCTACCAAGGAGCACAAACAGCGCGAGGGGAGCTCATCGAGCCCGCGTCCGGGGTCCGGAGACCAGCTCACACCAGCGCACACCGCGTTACACTGGGTACCGCGCAGCAGCGGCCTGCGCCCCAGCCTGCTACACGAGCACGTTCCCCGCCGCCTCTGCTGAGCCCCAAACGCCCGTGGAAACACACCGGACGCGCAGCAGCCGAAATGCTCTTGAAATGAACAAGGCTGGCGGGATCTCACAGCCGCCGCCATCAGGCCTGCGTGTCACAGCACAAGGACGGCCGTACAAATCCGTAACGTGAGGACAGCCCCGAAGTGAACCCTGCGCTTCCATCCAGACCTTCAACAGGGAGGCCCAGACGCGAGCAGAGTGGTGCGGGAACGGATTATCCACTTTCACCAGGCCTAAAAATTTACTCAAAATGGACCACAGACCTACGTGGGAAAGCTAAAACAATAAAGCTCTTAGAAGAAAATACAGGACTTGAGCAGAATTAAAAATTCGTGCTTTAAAAAAACAGCGCGGCAAGCAGGAGTTCCTCCAACTGTGAAGCAGGGTTACCACAACGGTCCGCACACGAAGCTTGAGAGGGCGCTGCTCGCCCCGGCCCAGAGCGGAGGCCACCCCATCGGCCGGCACGCGACGGAGAAACAGTGCGGTCGGTGCGCGCCAGGTCCCCAACCGCAGGGAGCAGCGGAGCCCGGGCCGCACCGTGATGCTGCTGAGTGAACGCGGCTGGGCCCGAGCGCCGCATCCTCTAAGGCCCCGCTGCCCTGCAGGGCCTGGAATCGGTGGAGGAAAGGCTGCCAGGCACTGGGGAGCTTGAGAGGAAAAGAGAGCAGTTGCTAATAGATGTGGAGTTTCTTTTGGGATGCTGAGAATGTTCTAGAACTAGTCATGGGAGCGGCTGCGCAATTGCAAATGTACTTAGAAACCACGGAACTGGGTGCTTTAAATGCATCGACTTAACTAAACCTGAAGCTAAGAACTCGGCCACCTCAGGGGCCTAAGTTAATTTCTCCGAGATTCAATTTCTTCATTAGAAAAAGGAGGATAGGGACGCCTGGGTGGCTCAGTGGGTTAAGCGGCTGCCTTCGGCTCAGGTCATGATCCCAGCGTCCTGCGATGGAGTCCCGCATCAGGCTCCTTGCTCGGCAGGGAGCCTGCTTCTCCCTCTACCTCTGCCTGCCTCTCTGTCTGCCTGTGCTTGCTCTCTCTCTCTCTCTCTGACAAATAAATAAACAAAATCTTTAAAAGAAAAAAAAAGAAAAAGGATAATGGGGCGCCTGGGTGGCTCAGTCAGTTAAACATCTGCCTTCGGCTCAGATCATGATCTTGGGGTCCTGGGATCGAGCCCCGCCTCTGACTCCCTGCTCTGCGAGGAGCCTGCTTCTCTCTCCCCCAGTCCCCCTGCTTGTCCTGTCAAATAAATAAAATCTTTTAAAAAAGATGAGAATAGAGAGAGAAATCCACCTAACAGGGCTGTTTTCAGGATTGCGGCAGACAATGAATTCGTTCTGGGAACATCCAGGAAGTGTCTGCTATGGAGGAGGCGGGGAGCAGGAATCAGCTGGCATCTGGGCTCCCTCCTCTGTGAAACGGGGGACCACCAGCACCGACGGGCCTGTGTGGGAACGAGTGCAGCGGTGGGCAGCGCACGGCAAACGCACAGCGTGAGTACAAGTCACCGGCTGTACCCGGCAGAACACGGGAGGAAGCCACAGCCAGGGAAGTGCACAGCCCATCTCGGGTCCCCTAGCCCACGCCGGGTGTGGCCCTTGTCCTAAGGAACACGTATTTGTCCTAAGGAAGCAAAATACTTACAAGGAAAAACCTAAGCACATTTTCTGAGCCCAGCTGGTAAAACCTAAGCACATTTTCCCACTCGCTTAAACTGCTGTTTCAAAAGTAAGTTCTACACGTCCCATCACAGACTGTAACTTCTCCCTGCACGGGAAATCCACTGAGGGACGAAGTGGCCAACCCCGGGGCACCCAGGGACACGTGGTGAGGCGCCGACAGCCAGCAGTTCCTCGGAGGGGACCGACGCGCCTGGGGGTCAGGAGGGTCAGCACAGACTCGGGGCCTGCCGCTCACCAGGCAACACCAGGGGCCTCTCCATTTCCCGTTTTGTTCCAGAGACACCTGGACAAGTGGCTTCCTGAAGCGAATGGCGGTCAGACCACGCGGAGTCCGCTCGAGCTGCCGTGACACATGCCACAGGCTGGGTGGCTTGGAAACAACAGGAACGCACTGCTCACGGTTCTGGAAGCTTTAAGTCCAAGATTACGGGTACCACGGAAGATTCTCTACGGGTCACAGACCAGTCGCCAGGTCCTCACCTGGTGGGGGGGGAGGGAGCTCTGGGGCCCCCGCTACAAGGGCCTGAGTCCCATCCAGGAGGCTGTTCCGCCCTCACGACCCAATCACCCCCCACCCAGAAGCCTCACGTCCTGACACCTCACCTTGGGGGTCAGGACCCCAACACATGAACGTGCGGGGACACACGCACTCGGGCCGCGGCGCGGTCACCGACAGCCTAGCAACCGGCTCTGGCAGGCAGCAGCCGCCGGAACTTCAAGGCCGCTCACGTGGACGTCAAACCTGTCTACACCAACTGCTCGCGATGTCCCCCAAGTACGTGAGTGAGAGCCATCGCCATGACTCGAGCAGCAAGGACAACGAGCACAAGAGGAGGAGGACAAAGAGGCCAGAGAGTGTCGTGAGCGCCACTCTGTCGTGACTAAGCGGGGCCAGAGATGAATGGCCAAGTCACCAAAGGTCACAAAGCCCATCATCCCGAGGGTCATCCCCAGCCTGGCGGGAGCCGTCACCTGCCTCTCTTCCCAGAAACACACCACCTCGGGGAGAGACTGTCACAGTCCGCCTCCACAGTGCGCCACCATCTCCACACGTGAGTGCACAGCAGACCCGCCGCCTCCCCACCGGCTGCCCCACTCGGGTGTCCCCTCCCCTCACACGGACCAAAGGCTCTGGCGCTCCTCAGCTAGGACGCGCTCCTACTGTTCCGCAACTGGTCGAGATCCACCATGCTGTCTGGCTTGCGCCATGCGCCGCGCCGGCTCCGAACCAGGAGCGCTCCGAGGCGCGGTGCTGGCGGCGGGTCACCGAGAGCCGCGCTCGACCGGGTGGGACCGGCTCTCAGACAATCCGTCCGAAGGAACTGCTGGTTCCCTCGCACCTCTGTTCCCTCAGCTCTCCGTGAAGGCTGAGCGGCTGCGCCTCCAGCCCCCGGTGCCCGTCACCGCGCTCCTCATTCCAGAGCGGAGACCCCTGCGCACCAGGCAGTCCCGGGGACGCCCCCGGGGCAGTAGCACAAGCTAACGCCCTGAGAGCAGGAGACTCATCCCATCTGGCCCGTCTGGTTTTAGGCTCCTTCCTCTCTGCCTAGTGCTTCTTCTCCCGCAAACCATCTTAATTATTCCATCAAGAGGAACCAGAACGCTAAACATTGCAAACTCCAAAAAAATGCTTCTTTTTGGACTCCATGAGCCACGTCTACAAGGACAGACACGTTCAATAATTTTCTACACTTGGGGCGCCTGGGTGGCTCAGTCAGTTAAGCGTCCGCCTGCACCTCGGGTCATGATCCCAGAGTCCTGGGATCAAGCCGCACATCGGGCTCCCTGCTTGGCGGGGAGCCTGCTTCTCTCTCTCCCTTGGCCTGCTGCTACCCCTGCTTGACCTCTCTCTCTGCCAAATAAATAAGTAAAGTCTTTTTTTTTTTTAAAGATTTTATTTATTTATTTGACAGAGAGAGATCACAAGTAGACAGAGAGGCAGGCAGAGAGAGAGAGAGAGAGAGAGAGAAGCAGGCTCCCTGCCAAGCAGAGAGCCCGATGTGGGGCTCGATCCCAGGACCCTGAGATCATGACCTGAGCCAAAGGCAGCGGCTTAACCCACTGAGCCACCCAGGCGCCCCAAATAAGTAAAATCTTAAAAAATAATCATAATAATAATTTTCTACACTTACCTTAACATTTTCAAGAAGCGCATCATCCCGACCCAGGCCGGGCCCCACGACCAGGGCGTGCAGCCGAGGCAGCCACTCCTCCACGTCGTGAACGGCGCTGGGGCTGTCACTGCGGCGAGAGGAGGAGGCCAGAGCAGTTTAGTACGACTTGCACTCACCGGCCTACCTTACTAGGGAGACTACACATTCTTCTGCATTTCCCTGGTTCCCCCTGCTGTTGCAGGACCCAGGCCAGAACCCCAGTGTGCAGCCAGCCCCCCACATGTCCCCGTCATCTCTGCAGACGAGTTCGTCCTTTCATACCCCGAAGCAGGAATCCAGCTTGCGGCATCTAAATGAAGCCACACTGAGACATTCTGGCTACTTTCAAAACTGTCTCTGCCTTCCAGACTGAACCGGTTTGTTTCCATCACAGGCATACTTTATGCACTCACAGGGGCACTGGGGGACCCTGTCACTTAGAACAGGAACTGACGGCTGTACGGGACCGTGTCACTTCGCCACACCAACTGCCCGCTCATCTCGCTCCTCTGTTAGAACCCACCTTGTAAGGCTCTGCCCCCAACAAGCCCACCGCGGGATCCAAGCACCCGCACTCAGCCTCCGTGCCGGACCGCAGAGACAACAGCAGAGACACGGGCCCTTCCAGAAGACTGTCAAGAGTTCTCCACAACACCCCTCCTCCCCGCTCCTGCCCCCACTCGGCTCCCAGCTGTGGCGCGCTGGGCTGCCCCCACTGACACGCACTCCTGCGCAGCCCCCACTCTCGTCCAGCACCTCACAACCACGCCGCTTGGATGTGCTACAGGCAGCAGCAAACACATCCAAAGCCAGCTCCGCAGCCACCCCACCAAACCCGCCCCCCGCCCGACTACCCTCCCTTGTCGAGTCACAACTAGCTCGGACCAAACCCAAAGCGGCCTCCATGACTCTCGTCTTTTCCTTCTACCTGATATCCCACCTGTCAGCAGATCCTGGGGCTGCACTTTCAAATGGGACCCCTTCTCCTACCCCATCACTTACTCTCACCAGGACGCTCACAACTCCCTCCTCAGGCAACCGCTGTGTCCACCCTGGGCCCCAAAGTGCATTCTCAACAGCATCCAGGGAAGGCTTTTAAAATGCACACTGGATCCTGTCCCCCACCAGTGCAAGGCTCTAGCAGCCTCCTCCCCCCTCCTCCTCGCTTACGTGAAAGCCAAAACCCAGAGAATGACCCCCAGGACTTGCATGGCTTGGCCTTAAACCTCTCCAGTCCCCCACCCCATCCTGAGGCCCTTGGCTTGAGCTGAGACGCCAGTCCTGCCCCACGTCTGCAGGTCCCTACCTGAGTGACACACTCTGGGCCCCTGCCCACCATCACCCCAGTGAGAAACACACATGGGCCACGAGCGTGCACATGTGACACATGGCACACGTGCTGCCCGCACGGCCGGCCTTCCCTCTCCCCTGCCTGCCCCGCCACGTGGTCCTCACCACCCTCTAACACCCCGTTCTCTTGCGCGTCCATCTCCGGAGCTGTGCCGCTCGATACGGCAGCCACCAGCCACATGTGGCTGTTTTAACTCGGTTTACGTAAAAACAGCTTCTGAGTCCCACCGGCCACATCTCAGGTGCTCAGCAGCCACAGATCTGGACAGCACCAAGAACATTTTCACCACTGCAGAAAGCTCTAGAGCACAGGGCCGCCCTAGAAAGGGGGCTGCATGGGAGATATTTTGTCTGCTTGGCTCAATGCTGTCCCCAGAGCAGCGGAAGCGTCTGCTGAACGCGGGAAGGCCCCATGCCTGCCCGACAGGCCCCTCGTGACTGCTGTGGGCAGCATGGCCGAAGGCAAGGCCCAGACGTCTCCTAAGAAGCTGCAGCCATTTCTGATGCGCCCCGGGGGCCCAGACCTCATCCCACACCTTATAAGCACGGCTGCTGCTCTCCTGGCCACAGACGGTGGGCTCCTTACTGCTTTTCCTCTCTCCTGTTAGCACCCACCTACCACCCCCTCAGTACAGCAGCCGCTCCACGGAGGCCCTTAGCGCCCACAAGAAGGCCCCGTGGCCGAGGAGCACGGCTGCGAGTGAGCACCCCCGAGTGGCCACACTCACAGAACCGGGTGAACAATCAGCTCCGGGCTGTACGACTTGATCACCGGCGCGGCCTCCCGGGTGCAGAACACGTGGGACAGATCTGCGCCCTGAGGAACGAGCACGAGAGGCAGACTCAGAGCAGGGCGCACCAACACACGGGGAGGCAGCCTCAGCACGGCTGCCCGGGGCCCTTACTCCACAGCCAGGCGGCTTAGATGAGAAAGGAAGTTAAGAAAAGGGCTGGGAAGCAAGCAGACTTTTGCTGCCACCCAACAGGCAGGTCACCCGAGACCAGCTCAGGCTGCGTCACCCAAGGGCCCCCGGGAGCACGTTTCACAGTAATTGTGCCAACTGGGCCACCAGGACTGGATCGAAGACCTGGGAAACCGCCAAGTCGCATAGATGCTGACTGCCTTCATGAGGACGCAGCGGCGCTCTCGGATCACGGTGGTCAAAGACAGTTCTAGTAAAACTTCGGTCAAACAAATTCCAGTTCTGGGGCATCTCAGTGGGTTAAACGGCCGCCTTCAGCTCGGGTGAGGATCCCAGGGTCCTGGGATGGAGCCCCATGTCGGACTCCCTGCTCAGCGGGGAGCCTGCCTCTCCCTCTGTCCCTCCCCTGCTCATACTCTTTCCCTAATAAGTGAAATCTTAAAAAAAAAAAAAAAAAAAATTCCGGGGGCGCCTGGGTGATTAAGATGGTTAAGCGTCTGCCTTTGGCTCAGGTCAGGATCCCAAGGTCCTGGACGGAGCCCCATGTCGGACTCTCTGCTCAGCGGGGAGCCTGCTTCTAGCCTGCTTCTCCCTCTTACCACCCCCCACCCCCGTTCGAGGTCTCTCTCTCTCACACACTCGCTCTCTCAAATAAATAGTCTTTAAATACAGTAAGAAGGAATCCAACGGCTGACTAGAGTGAGAAGCTGTAAACAGACCTACCACTTTGAGAGCTGAGATGGCAGCGAAGTAGGGCGCTCCAGTGTACCTGAAAAGGCAGAATGGACAGTCAGCATCCTCCGAGAAGGCCGCCAGCACAGCGGTTCATCGGGAGGTTATGAAGACGGGGATCACAGAGCCCAGGGCCCAGCACCTCATAGCACGGGAGCCCAGCGAGGCCTGAGACCCCGACCTGAGCGGAGATCAGAAGTCCGCCACTCAACTGACTAAGGCACCAGGTGGCTGTCACGTAAGACCTCCGTGCCACGTCAGGACCGCCGGCGCTCCCAGCACTGTGCTCAGACTGGAGGCTCGAGGCGGCCGTGAGAGCTCACTGACGGCGCCAACAACAGCAGCACTCAGCCAGGCCCTGAGACTCACACCTCTCCCTTGGCTTCCATCCCACCATTCCCAAGTGCTCTTATTTTTAACATGGCCTCAGGCAAGGAAGAGGGGGCGATCAGCATGTGCAGCAACATTTAAGATGTCTGTGCGCCGCTCCAGTATCAATTCTGGGACCCGATCCCCGGGAGATAACCAGATGCGCGCATAGTTGAAAAACGTACAGAGATGTCGACAGCCATGCTGCTTATTTGGGGAAAAGAACAGAGGTGACCCGGTCGCCTATGAACAGGGACGGTAAATAACTTGCGGCCCGTCTTTACAAGGACCACCACTCACCAAGAATCAGTCTCTAGGAAGCAACAGGGAACGACCGATGCCAGGACACCCCATGAAATGAAAAGGAGGTCACACCACCAAACAGCAAGCAGAGAGAATGCAGAGCCCCGACGCTTGTTTTCTGTTTTGGAAAACAAGTATCTGATGTAAGCGGTGAGTGCGAAAGCGTCCACTTCGAGCACGGCCACCTCAAACGCTCCACCAGCCCAGGACCAGGCAGAGAGCCGGGCCACCCCCGCCCACCAAGGCTAGTTTGTTTCAAAGATCTTGGTTGATTTCGTAACTGACCATTTGGACCACTCCTATTCTCTCTTTTGGTGATTTTAACCCCCGCGCTCATGCTATACATTCCCCACTAAAGAGTGAACCGTGACACCCTCCCCCCTCACCTGCCCACCTGCTCTGTCCACCCACAGCCTCGCTGTGTGGGCCCAGTGCTGTGTCACTTTCAGATCTTGTAGGTAACACATCTTTATTTTTCCAGAGTTTCCTGATAGTTGTTACTTCGGGGCATCCTGTGATCATAGAAGAACCATGGGGGCAGCTCCCACTCCAGCACTGGACCCTGACAGGCTGAGACCCGCACAGAAGTGACAACACGGTCCCAGTTTTGTAAAACACAGTTACATACACAGAAGAGTCTGGAAGGCCAATAATGTGCCCATGCTGTACTACTACACGGGTAGTATGAAGTCTTCACTTCCCACTTTTTTGCGGTGTTTGAATTTTTACAAGCAGATTATACCTTTATAACCGGAGTAAAAACGATCCTACTTTAAAGGTTAGTTCCTAAATCTAATGGACATTTCTTAAGTTACATAATTACCCCTAGCATGCTACACTACAGACTTATCTGAAAAGAAAACCTCACAGCCACCTCTTCCCATGTAAATATCCCAAAATACAAGGCAGGAGAGGGAGGGGACATGAGAAATAAGACCCGTAACTCCCTCAGCTCTCTTGAGGGCCCACGGGCCCGGCGGAGGCCACACTGCTGGCCTCCATCCCAGAAGCTGGAGGAGGCGGCCTTTAACTGGGGACCTAAAGGAAGAAAAGCATCTAAGAGCTAATGATCCAAGAGTCCAAAATGCAGCAGAAGAAAGTAACAGAGGAGAAATGAGAGCCAGTAATAGAGGAGCATTTCCCTCATCCAAAGGGACCACATCTGCAGACATAAGGGCTCACCAAGTCTCAAATCAGATTAGTGAAAAGAAGACATACCGGGACACATTTGGAGGAAACTGAAGACTTCTAAAGAAAATCTTACAAACATCCAAGCAAGAACAAGTTACAAATTAAGGCAATCTTCTTTTTTGTGGTGCAAAATACAGGCTAGAGTACAATGTGATCACTCACATAGTTTACCAAAAAGATCACGCTGAGACTCCCCAGCTCAGGCAAGGCACAACACAGCCCACCCACCACAGCAAGACACAGCCGGTGTGCAAGTACTCCACAGGGTCCCATCAAAGAAAACGCCAGAAGAGGCCAAGGACTCCCACCCCAAGAGCAGACCACTAGGCCAGGCAGGAAACCGGCAGCAGCACACCAAGTTCCGCGCGGTACTAGGGGATGCGCTAGGAATTCCCTAGCAGTTCTTCGTCTGCGTTAACTCTCTCCCGAGTGGCATGTGTGATTCATCACGGTAGTTAGGAAAGACAACCCCCAGCTCGATGTGAAACCATAAGAGAATTTCCAGATTAATAAAAGGAAAAACCTAGCGAAAATAAGGAAAAAACGGACACACAATGTAAAACGAAGAGAAAACATAACAAGCCTTAGAAAGTGCCTCAGGTAGACTAAAGCGAACAAGCAGACCCTCTTGTCAGAGCAGGTACGGTCGGTCACGCGGGGTCAGGAAACAAATGAAGAAGCTACATATTATTTATGAAACACCTAACTACGTGATAAACCCCTGAAAATACACAGCCAGGCAGAGACGGCACATAGATACGAACAGAGAGTAAGCAGGGGCAGAAACGGTAACCAAGGTCAGATTTAAGTCTAAAGCAAAGGTATCATTTATAAACAAGGACAGGTTATAAAATTTTACGTGCAAACAACACAGCAGCAAAATCCACAGAACTAGAAAGCAAGCCTTGGGGATACCTGGGTGGCTCAGTTGCTAAGCATCTGCCTTCAGCTCGGTCATGATCCCAGGGTCCTGGGATCGAGCCCCACATCAGGCTGAGTTGGAAGCCTGCTTCTCTCTCTCCCACTCCCCCTGCTTGTGTTCCCTCTCTCACTGTGTCTCTATCAAATAAATAAATCTTTAAAAAAAAAAAAGAAAGCAAGCCTTGAAAACAGGCTAGGAGCTGTCAAATTTCCTTAATGACTTCCAAGAACATCTTCAAAGTGACAAAGTAAACCAAACACATGCTAATCTTCTCCAGATTACAAAGAAACACGTGTTTGTGGTACGCAGCCTGGTCAATACAGGAACGTGTAAGACAAGAAAACCCGGCCCCAGCCCCACCGTGGGCGCAGGCTCCACACCGACGTGCGAGCAACAGCTCACGCAGGGCCCTCACTGTTCTCTCCTACGCAGTCACAAAGTCCATCCCTGGAAAAAACCGGGGGTCAGAACATCAGACCACACCGACAGATGACTGCTGGGGTCCAGCCAGACGGACAGACGGACAACTGACTGACGCGCGGGCAGAAAGCCAGACAACAGAGACTGCGTAAACACGACCATCTTCCGAGTCACTTACTCTTGGCAGCCCCCGACGACGCCGATTCTTCCATCTTGGCCTTTGTGCTTCCGCGAAGTCAGAGGAGGTATAATATTTCTCACCAACTGCAACGTATTTTCCATATCCTTTATCGAATGTGCTTTATGCAGTGAAAATGCTCTTTGTAAACCTGAAAAACATGAAAACAGAATCATTCAGAAAAATATTAGCATATGTAACGAAGAGACTGAAACAAGACAGCCTACTAACCAGAACACCCCAAAGCTGACTGAACACGAATGCTACAGATTCTTATCCAACGGTTTCATTATTAGATTTTTTTTTTAATTTGACAGAGATCACAAATAAGCAGAGGCAGCAGAGGGGGGTGCGAAGCAGGCTCCCCGCTGAGCAGAGAGCCCGATGCGGGGCTCGATCCCAGGACCCTGAGATCATGACCTGAGCCGCAGGCAGAGGCTTAACCCACTGAGCCACCCAGGCGCCCCCATTATTTTATTTCTGTAAGCAAATGACCCTTGGAAATTACGACACAGCACTAACACTAGCTGGACGTACCAACTTTGTTTTTGAAACGAACCGGACATTTCCGAAGCCCAGTTAACCTTTCAGAAAGTGTTTTAATGCCTTACGACCTAAGAAACTACACATACCCCACGTCAATCTTCCACTAAGTTTATGCAGTCTCGTCTCTCAAGCTGGAAAAGCAAACCTCCCATTCGCTCCTTCCGCTGCCATAGTCACACTCCCAACCTTCCAGTCGTGTCTCAGACACTCCATTAGATGCTCATTCAACAACCCAGAAATGGCGTTCTAAACAGAGAACACAGCTTACACTGGGGTCAGAGGAGCATCTTAAAATAGTAAGACGATTTCGAATTGTTTATAAACAGCTAGATCTTAATTGCCTTTCTAGAAAAACTTCCCACATATTTGCCTTGGTATTTAACCCAGCTCATCTGTGAGAAATGCCACATTCTGTAACATGTTGTGTACCTGAGGTCTGAAATAATAAAGCACGTGTTTTCCCTAGAATTAAAGGGTCTGTGCAGATCTACACAACACTCACAAAAGGAAGCCAACATTCACTTCCTTCCAGTTACCCAGCAGCGCAGAAAACCCAGGCGGTGTTACAGCTCCCGGGAAGGCCACAAGCTGCCCCGGCCCCCAGGCCCGTAAGGCACACGGCTTTATGTTTACTAACACTCTCACAGTTTCGCTTTTTATTCAGTAATCTTATTCAAGTAATTTTCTTTAATGAGTAGCTGTAATGGCCTCCTCAGCGATGTGCCAGCTGCTGAGACCCCCACACGTGAGAATGTTAATTACTAGGAGTGCACCCCAACACTTTCCACCTCCCAAACCGACACAAGACTAAAACTCAAAACCAAATCCCTATTGGGGTGGCTCAGTGGGTTAAGCCTCTGCCTTCGGCTCAGGTCATGATCTCAGGGTCCTGGGATCCAGCCCCGCAGGCTCTCTGCTCAGCAGGGAGCCTGCTTCCCCACCCTCCAACCCCCACCTCTCTGCCTGCTTGTGATCTCTGTCAAATAAATAAGTAAAATCTTAAAAAAAAAAAAGCATCCTGGTTTACTGTCCTCATTAGTGCCCCGTGTATCCTGTTACAGGTAAGGAAACCGGAGCCCACAGAGACAGGCCTGAAGACTCCTGGGGTAGTAATGGATAAGCCAGACCAGAAGACACCATTTTACCAAAATGCCATTTCACGGCAAATCATTTTTCTTTAACCAAACAGTCACCACATCAACCAAAAGACAAGACGACAAGGATCAAATCCCCAGAGAGTAAGATCCCGTAGGAAGCAGGGGTTGTCGGTGTCTAACCAGAAGCGCGGGTGCGAGTAACCCCGCGCGGCTCACCAGCCTGCCCCGCGCACCCCGGGAGAGCGCGGTCCGCTAGCAAGGGCCAGAGAAGGTCGGCTCCACTTCCCGGCACCGCAGTTACTCAGTCCGGGCCGGGTCCTGGCACGCACCCCGGGACCTGTCCATTCTCCGGGGTGAAAATGCCTTGACAAGAGACGATCTGACATTCATCCCGATCAGTAACTCAGTCGCGTTCGGGGATTCGAGTCTGGAAGAACAGGTCAAACCCGTGTGATTCTGGCTTGTTTTACGGCAGTGGCGCAGGCAGCTGGAGAGCTGAACGGACTTCTTCAGCCTGCGCTGTTTCCTAGAATTCCCGACCACCCACCCCGAGGGACGACTGCGCTCTAACCTCGGGGGAACCAGCCCATCTGGAGGGCCCGACGGCAACCCCTACAGCATCCGAGACGCCCTAAAGCTAGGACGGGAAGTCAGGGCGCAGAACGCGCCTGTCCTGGGTGAAAGTTCAGCAGATCAGCCTCACAGTAACACCCGGGACGAAGGCCAAGAGACGCGCTGCCGCTGACCGCAGGGGGGAATTCACGACGAAGGGCCGCCCGTCAAAGCCTCGGAACAATCTGTGCCCGGAGGCCCCTCTGCCGCCGTGAGGGAGGGGCAGGAGCTACGGGACCCCTCGAAGCCCCGCACGGCCCCTGGCACGGGAACTAGAGTGCCACCGTGTGTCACTAAAACAGAGAAAGGAGGGTCGTCTCTGCGTAACGAAAGGCCAACGCCCCCCAGTTGTCCCCGCCCTGCACCAGCACACACGGGCCCGCAGCCACAGCCTGCGGGAACGCCCCCGTCCCGGCTCGTCACCGGCCGGGCAACCGCGGCCGCTCACTGCTTCTCGGCCCAGTCCCCGCACGGAGGGGCGAGCGCTCGCCGCGGGCGGGAAGGGGGTGGAGCCGCCCGCGCCTCCGCCGCCCGGCGCGCACCGCTGTACTTCCCGTGCACACACCCCGGGCAACCGGGGGTAAAGCCCCTCACGAGGGCCGCGGGCGCTGCTGACGCGACTCCATGCCTTCCCCACAGCCCGTCCGGTTTCACAGCCAAGGCCGCGGCGGGGTCCTCGGGGGTCGCCGGGGGCGCCCAGCCGTGACCCTGCCCCGCGGTACCGGCGCTGGCAGGCCCTTCCCCACGCGGGGGCGGCTGCGTTGCGGGCACGACTCCCCGCACGACTCCCCGCGGCCCTGGGCCCCGCGCGCGACCGGCCTTCCACGGCGCCTCCGTCCCGCCGAGCGCCCGCGGTCGGGTACCTGCGTCCGGCGACAGCTCGTAGAGCACGAGTGCGGCCGAGAGCAGCGCGACAGCGGCCGCGCCGGCGAGCAGAGCCCCGGCCCCCGCGGGAAGGGCCATGCCCTCGAGGCCGGTATCGATCTTACCTCGGCGGCAGGCCCCGGCGGCGGCCCAGACGGGACCCAGAGCCATCCCCGGACTTCCGGGCTCCCGGCCGCCCCCGCGCCGCCGCCGGAACCAGAGCTCGCGGCGGACTTCCGGCTCCCGACGGCCCACGCGCCGTCGCCGGAAGTCGACATTCTACATCCGGCCTCACCCCACCCACAGACTGGCCTCCACCAGTCGTCTACGGTCCCTGATGATTGACAAGCTCAATGCCCAACCCAGGAGGGGCCCAGCTCCGGACCCCTGGAGTTCTGCCGGAAAGCAGGTTCCGGCATGGAGATGCGTCTTAGGACTAGGTGTTTGGGAGTCTTTTCATCCTTCGTGTTTGGGGCCGGGGGCGTCTTAGAGCACGGGGCGGGAGGCTGCCCGGTTGACCATCACGGCACCCTCGGGCAGCCGGCGGAGGCCTTGGAACCCCACGTTTGCGCGGCCCGATTCCGCCATGGGCCGCCTCCGCCCCCGGACTCGCGAGCCGGACTGTCCCGCCGGCTGGCGCCCCCTGCCCCCGGGAGCCGGGCCGCCGCCATCCCTGCCGCTCAGGTCGGAAACCGGGGCGCCCTCTCCTCCCGCCTGCCTCCTCCCGAGGGCCCGCCTTGCGGGGGCGATCCCGGGCTGAGCGCGGCCGGCCGGTGCCGGGCGGTGCAGTGCGGAGGAGCGTGTCTCACGGCCCTGGAGGCCGCAGGTCCGGGCTCGCGCTGCCGGTGGTGGCCGTCCGTCCGGGGCGCTCCTCGCCTCGCGGCGGAGTCCCTGGCGTCCCTGCCTGTGTTCTCACGGGGCAGCCTGCCGGTGAGCCTGCCCCGGGGTGCTGGCACGTTCCTCCTAGGAGGACGCCAGGCCCGCGCGCGATGCTTACCGTCGCTTGGTGGTCTGCGAAGACCCTGCCTTCAAGTGAGGTTACACTGGCAGGTACCGGCGTCTGAACCTAAGTCTGTCTTGGGGGACACAACTCACCGATGGTGGCTGCGTGCGCCTCCTGGTCTCCCCGCAGCGACAGAAAGACCGTGTCACTCCCTCGAGGTCGTGTTGCATGAAGGTGAGGTTCGGTGGGGCGAGGTCCCAAGCCGACCGCCGAGAAGGGAGTCTTGAGACATCTTTGGGGCAGAACAGCGGCCGTGTTAAAGCAGGCGGACAGGACCCGAGAACAGAAAGGCCTGCTGCCCCAGGGTGCTGACGGGGCGCAGTATACACTCGGGAGTCGGGGAGGGAAGAAGATGGAGGTTTCCGAAAGGACTTTGATAGACTAGGGAGGACCTGCAGGATACCGGGGGCCTCGGCTTCCTGAGGTTCAGGTTTTCCCCTGTAGCAAGATGTTAACAATAAGACAGTTGGGAAACTTCTTCTGGAAGTTGAGTTCTTCTTAAGAATGCTCTTTTCTCTTTTTAAGATTTATTTATTTAATTGACAGAGAGTGACCACAAGCAAGGGGAGAGGCAGGCAGAGGCAGAGGGAGAGGGAGAGGCAAGACTCCCCGCTGAGCAGGGAGCCTGATCTGAGGCTTGATCCCAGGACCCTGAGCCTCAGGACCTGAGCCGAAGCCAGACACTTCACCGACTGAGCCCCCCAGGTGCCCCAAGAATGCCCCTTTCCTTCCTTCCTTCCTTCCTTCCTTCTTTCTTTCTTCCTTTCTTTCTGATTTTATTTATTTGATAGACAGAGATCACAAGTAGGTAGAGTGGCAGGAAGAGGGAGAAGCAGGCTCCCTGCTGAGCAGAGAGCCTGCTGGGGGACTTGATCCCAGGACCCTAGAATCATGACTGAGCCAAAGGCAGCTGCTTAACCAACTGAGCCACACAGGCGCCCCAAGGATGCTTATTTCTTTTGACTCACTAAGTCATTTGTAAACCGAGGGAGCGTCCTGTCTTGCAGGACTGTCATCTCTATGAATTAATCATTTTTTTTTTTTCTCTTAGCTTTAGGGCAGCCAGGAGTGCCTGAGGAATGTCACCCGTGTTCCACCGGGTGTGGGGGGTCATTGTGGGGTGTCAGCTTCTGCTTTGTCCTCAGCTTGCCTTCTCCCTCATCTCAGATCGTCCAGTGCTTTCCCACGTTGAGTAAAATCCAAAGTTCCTTTCTCTTGGCCCTCTAGCCCCTGTGTGATCCATGCACTTCACTCCCCTGCCACTGTCCTTGCTCCCTCTCTCCCAGCTACACTTCTTTGTCCTTCGTCTATGCGGCCAGCATGCTCCTGCTCTCCCTTCTGCTGGCGGGCTCTTTCTCATGACACTGACGTGGTCCCGAGCCATTCCTGGCCGTTCTGGGTGAGGTCCACACCCCTTCTTTCCTGCTTCCTGCCTTATTATTCTCCTTAGTACTTCTCACTACTTGACTTACCCGCTCAGTTACCCATTTGTTGTCGTCTACGTCACCATGTCTATAGAAGTTAGCATAGAAGTTAGAAGGCATAACTTACGTAACAATAAATTTCACTGATTGGAGGTGCACACTTCCCATGAGTTTGAACAAACGTATGTAATCATGTAATCGCTAATGTGGAAAACAAAGGCAAAAGAAAAAACGCAATTTCCTTACTGCTTACAGCCCGTTAACAGGTCCTAGAAACAGACAGAGGGACCTTCCTCTAGGAGCTCAGCTGCCTGGATGTTGGCACTTTGCTAAGGGCCAAAGGTAATCTTAGCCCAACCCCCAGGATCCTGTGAGTCTACTTGACATATACAGAGATTCCTTTGGAAACTTACCTCTACCCGCCAAGGTACAGGTTTGTAGTCGTCCAGCAAGTGGCCCACCGGCACACAGCTCAAGTGTCAGGACTGCGGGTCACTAACCGGGGCTGAATAGCCTTTTCCCAACAACAGCGAGCCTGCTCAGGGCCCTGGAAAACTGTCTTTCCCAAAATGCCCTGGAGGCTTGTGCCCTCCCCAGCCCCTCCCACCTTGGAAGCAGGAAATCCAGTCACCGGTCCCAATCCCTGTGCAGCCCTCTCTGCCCACTGGGCCGGTCGCTGCACTCCAGTGAAGCCCCCTTTCTGCACCGAGGATGTCTCGAGAATTCCGTCTTGACTCTCTGCTCCTGGACCCCAGCATGTCCTACCTCAGTCACCACCACATTTGTGATTTAGGACATACCTATCAAGACGCCCCAGTCAGGCTTTTGCTGCTACTATAAATGTTATTTTCTTAATTTTCATCTTTAACTGCTCATTGTGCGTGCATGGAAACACTGATTTGCGTATTCGGACACTGTGTCTTTTGATCAGGCGGAATCATTTGTCATTAGTTCTAGCAGATGCTTTGAGTTTACCTGGGATCTTCTGTATAAGCAGCTGCCAGTTTTTTGGTGAGATTAACTTCATGAACCTTCTGGGTAGCCACCAGGTTATTTAATACCAGTATGAACTCCTGAAATTTTATTTGACTCAGCAAAAATTTATGAATTCTTATTTTACTTACTTTGTTCAGAATTTTAAAATGTATTTATTTATCGAGTCCCCCAGCGGGCTCTCTGCTCAGCGGGGAGCCTGCTTCCCTCTCCCTCTGCCAAGCACCAAGTTACTTGTTACCAATGTGAAGTCATAAATTTTTATTTCATTCATTTTATTTACATCTTATTTATTATGTTACCCTTTTTGATACTTTAAATGCAAATATATTTAAATATTTACATTTCAGTGGCTCATCTAGGGACCCCGGCCTCAGAGCCATCATCTCGGATCCTCACGGTGTTAATCCTTCCCAGAGAAACGCAGGAAGTGAGTTCCTTCTCGCCACGGAGGGGAGATCTGTGCAGACTTAGAGAAGTCGCACAGATCAATTAACGGGAACCTTCCTTACTCAGCTGTGGCCCTGTGGCGTTGGCAGTGCCCCGGCCTGGAGGTGTGGAGGAAGTGAGTAGGAGATTGCGGGCTCCCTGGACACTGGCCTGCGTCATCCGAGGCCACACACCACAGGGGAAGGTAAGCAGTCCGAAAGGCAGGCACCCACTTCATTTCCAAACCTCACCTCTGAACTGGAACACATTTCACCCATCCCTGTGGCAGCCGCCAAGGGTAACCTTCACCTTCCAACTGTCCTCCCCCCCGCTCTTGGCCTGTAGGCTGCTGTCCTCATCAGTCAGGCCCGGAAATAGATCTGAGAAAGAACAGTCAGAACCCAGACCCTCCACGGTTCCCAAGGTGAAACAGCAGGCTGCGTAATACTCCAGGACACAGGTGTGCCTTTTCGTATTCCCCCACGGAATCTGAGAAAAGATCATTAAAGCTGCAAAAACCTGCACTTTCGTACTCCGCAGGAGGGGCTGAGAACTAACACTGACAAGGGATTTACATTCCTGTTAATTTAATGACCTCAGTGGGAACAGCTTGTCTAGCACACCCATTGGTAACTGGGTGACCCTCCTTCCTTTTGAGAACTCTTGTGACACCTTACCTATTATTTTTAGCTTTGCCAAGAAGAGGAGTACGATTAAGGGATGTGGCCAGAAGGAAAAAGTAAAATTTTACTTCCAGAATCAGCAAATCTTTAATTTTAGACTTAAGGAAAAACCAGTCAGGCTCAGGTAGTTTTGGTCTCTCCGGGGCTTATTGGAAATGCAGAAGCACAGGGGCGCCTGGGGGCTCAGTTGTTAAGCGTCTGCCTTCCGCTAGGGTCATGATCCTGGGGTCCTGGGATCGAGCCCCGCATCTGCTCCCTGCTCGGTGGGAGGCCTGCTTCTCCCTCTCCTACTCCCTCTGCTTGTGTTCCCTCTTGCTGTGTCTCTGTCAAATAAACAAAACCTTAAAAAAAAAAAGACTTTGCGTCCTTGGTGATAACCCTGAGCATTTGGGGGGAGTCACGGGTCACAGAGATTTTTATCACCGAAAGGTGAAATTAGATGAGATAACCTTTAATGTTTCTGTCAGCAATAGAAACATATGTATTTGATCTAGTAATATACTTGCTTGTATTTTATCTCTTATTTCATGTTCCTTGTGTTTTCTTATCTATTTTATTTAGTTATTTGACAAAGAGAGGGAGAGCGC